ACGGCTGGGCTTCCTTCTGCGACCACCCAGCGCGCTACGTCCCGCGCAGCCCGCCGGTGGCCGGAACGGGAGGACCAGGAACCGGAGATCCCATCCTGGATCCAGGCCTTGGCCTGGTGTCCGGTCAGGTGTACGCCTCCTCGCCCGACGACGGTGGCCGCACTGACCGCTTTGCCTTCCAGCTGCCCTTTGCGGAGGGCGCGGGCGATGGGGCGCGCCTGGACTTCGTGGTGCGCTATGAGACCCCCGAGGGCATTTTCTGGGCCAACAACCACGGCCGCAACTACACAGTTCTGCTCCGGATCTCACCCGCTCCCTCACCCACTGACGCTGAAGGGCTGCCCCAGCAGCAGCAGCTGCCGCAGCTGGAGCCACAGCCCGAGTCCCAGGGTACCATGGAGGCTGAGGCCAGGCAGCTGAAGAGCTGCATGAAGCCGGTGAGGCGCAGGTAATGTCTGCCAGCGCCACCTCCGCCATCGCAGGGCTGTGTCTAGGATGGAGGACAAGCATCCTGATCCAGGAACCCCTCAGGCCTGCTCTCCAGGACAGGGAGGAGGGCACATTCAGTCAGTTAGTCAAAGAGTAATGGAGGCCAAACATGTGCTAGGCTCTGCATTACTGGGGTTTTATTCATTCATTTATTGAATTCCACTGTAAAGCCCTGAACAAGGCAGACATCTTTCCTGCCCTCAAGGATCATACAGGCTCCTATGGGAGACAGTTGGAAAGAACAAGAAATGAGCAGATAAGAAACATAGGAAGCTGTTGAGGGGGAAGGAAAATTGAGCAAGGGGAGAAAGTTCGGGAGGGAATGCCTGGTTTAGCCAGGATGTTCAGGGAAGGCCTTTGAGGAGTTGAGTCCTGGATGATGTTAAGTAGAGTTATGAAGGATATGAAGGAAGAGAGTTTGTAGAAAAGGAAACAGGGAGGACTTTAATGAGGAGGTGCCATTTAAACTGAGTCCTGAATGGTCAAGAGGAGTAGTTATGCCCACATATGGGAGCAAGGGTGTTCTAGGGAGAGAACAGCAAGTGCAAAAGTCCTGAGGTGGGAATGAGCTTGGTGTGAATGATAGGCAGTGATAGAGTGGAGAGAACTGCAGTGACATGGTAATGTGGGAGCTGGGGGTGGGGGGTGGGGAAGCTGAATTCCTATCTGACAGAGCAGGAAACCAGAGTTCCAGAGTGAGAAATTGGTTAAGGAAGTGATGGCGCCTGGCTTTTCCATTTCGGCCATGACTAACCTTGAAGCCTGTGCACTCTCTTTACTGTTGTGCTCTAATAGTCTGAAGTCTGCAGAGGTGAGTGGCTGACCCCATGCTCTCACAGGGAAGCATTGGCTCTGGCGGAGGCAGAATCAGATGGGCCTGTACCTGAAGCTCTTGTCCTGTGTTTTTGCCATAACACCTGTGACTATTCAGGGCCTGGGGGAAAGAACCAGTTAACCCCAGGAGGCCCTGAGACAAGATTCTCCTAGGTTTTTTTCTGTCAGCTTAGTTTTCCCAGGGTAGCAGATAGGCCTGATTCTTTTTGGGCTCACCTAAGTCTAGTATGGGATAGGTAGATTCTCCATGCACGGGAAATACATTTCCCTGGTGGTGAGAGGACTGGAAATGGGAATGGGAAAGTGCTTTTTGGACCTTGTATATGTTGGATCAGAAGCCTCTGGCTGCAGCAAGATGTTTGTGATCCTGGCAAGGCTGTGAGTGGTTCGGAACGGCCTAGCTCAGTTGGTGGGCAGATGTGCCTGGGTACTTGAGCCAGCAGGCAAGCACCCACTTAGTGACCTGTGAGCCCCATAGTAACCTGAGGCTTAGTCTGAGGGGGCAGGCAACATGGCTTTCCTTACAGTGTTAAGAGCGTGGATTCTGGCATCAGTGCCTGGGTTCAAATCCCAGATCTGCCATCTATATTGGCCTTGTAACCTTGGCCAACTGCATTATGTCTCAGTACCCTCATCTGTTAAACAGATAATTATAATACCTACTTCACAGGAGACGAACAAAAGCACTCAGAACCTAGCCTGGCTCATAGCAGTGCCACATAGGTGTTAGCCAGTGTTAGTACTTAGGGAATCACACGTACAGGTCTTTGGATTCTCCTCCCAAACTCTGCTCTGCCTGTCACCAGCTGTGTGGCCTTGCCTCAGTTTTCTCATCTGCTTAAGGGGAATGACAGTCACTTTGTGTGGTTGGATTGGACGCAGCCAACATGGGCAAGGTAACAAGCATGGTGGTAGCTGCCAAAGATAACAGTGGCTGGCATGTACTGATATCTGTGCTAAGAGCTTCGTGTCTGTTCTCTCCTGAGTCCTGCTGTGCATGCTGTGTGCTGGAGGTGCTATGATTATCCTCATTTAATAGAGGGGGAAAGAGGTAGCTCAGGAGTAAGCCTGCTTGTTCAAGTTTGCTCAGTGAGTGACAGACCAAGGAGGAGATGCTAAGGGAAATTTTATTTATTATTTTTTTAAAAGAATAGTTTATTGATTTTTAGAGTGAGAGAAAGGGAGAAGAGAGAAACATTGATGTAACTGATTGACTGCCTCCTGCATGTTCCCCTCCCCCCCTGGGGATTGAGCCTGCAACCCAGGCATGTGCCCAGACCAGGAATCAAACCAACAACCTTTCGGTGCATGGACGATGCTCAACCAACCGAGCCAGCCACACTGGCCAGGGCATAGGAGCAATTTTTAAAAATAGCTCCTCCTTGAAGGCCTGATAAGATTCAGGATAAATTCTGCATTTTGCTCCAGTATATTATGCTTTGCTCTTCCTTTTTTTTTTTTGCTTTGTTGAGTGACAGCTACATAAAGTAGACTGATCTTAAGTATAGGGCTCAATGGATTTTTACATATCTATGCCCTTATGTAGCCATCATCCAGATCCGAGATATTGAGCTATTTGTGTCCCAGAATCACCTTTTCCTAAGACGTCATTCCAGCTGGCTGTCGTGGGAGCCAGTCTATAAGACGCAACAGTTTGGGTAAATGGAGCTTGCTCATTTTAGAGTGCGAAAGGAAGGGAACAGAGAAATCAGAAGCTTGCAGGGCCAATGTGGGTGGAGAAGGTGTTTTTCTTTTAAAATACATGGTGGTTTTAAGGAGAAATTGAAGCAGCCCGTTCAGACAATTGTTTTGATATCTGGCCCCAGGTCTGTGGTTCCTAACATGACTTGTGATATTATTTTAAGTGGGCAGATGGCTTTTTGATAGCTTCTTTATCTTTTGATCTCAGCTCTTGCAAAGGGGAGGTTGGTGCTCATTGCAAGATCAACGATAAGATTTTCTTTTTAGGTTGGTGGCTTTCTTGGCGAGTACATTTCAACTTATTATTGTTTTAAAACCTGTGTGCTGCCGGTGACTTGGAGCGCTGTTGAAGAACAGCTGCCCCCTGAGACCCAGCCCTCTTGTAAATGATGGAGGGTCTCAGGAGGTAGTCTTAACCTGCTGGGTCTCTGTTGTATAGGTCTTCCCATTCAGGCAGTGTTGGCTGTAGGCCCATTGTGCACCGGGTGCAGCCACATCAGGTGCAAGCATGGAAGAAGTCGATGGTAGCCAAAGGGATAATGCTTAGAAACTGAAAAGGCTACATTCCCTGAGTTGCTAGATCAGGCTTTTGATAAACCGTAGGCTTAGAGATAATCCATCAGCAAGCATTTATTGAGGGCCTACTATGTGCTGGGCACAGTGCTAGTTTCAAACAGGGAAAAAGACACAGACTGGCACCGAGATGTCAGAGGGCTGGTGGTGGAACTGGGTGGAAAGGGACAGGTACAGAGGGCTTGTCATTTGAGACCTGGCAGAGGTCTATGCACTTGGCTCTTTGCATGCAAATGTCATCTAATCCTTTCAACGTTCCTGGTGAGGTAGACTGTTTTATCCCTTTTTCCCAGATGAGCAAACTGAGGTTCCCAGAGTCCAATGTCCCAGGGCTGGAGTGAAGAGGAGCCCTCCTGGTCCACCTTGATTTAACACCCTTAGGAGCTATCCTATTCCTCTTAAAAACGAAGACCAAGAAAGCCTAAGCATGTCCTTCAGGCATCCCCTGCCCTCTCCCCCAATCTGGCCTCCGTGGCTACTAGTCTCACCTCATACCGTCCTCTGCCTTCTGAGCTACCACCATGGTTTTTCCAAGGTGCCTTGCCCCTTCCTGCCTCAGGGCCTCTGCCCATCCTGTTTCCATCACCAGGAATGTTGGTCCTGTGCCCCTTGCAGTCTCCTCATTTTGATACTTCAATTCTAAGAGTGTTTCCTCCGGAAAGCCTGTTCATTCCAACTTCTTCAGGCCCTGGTTTTCCCATAGCACCCGTCGGCCAAGCAGGCAGGCCCTGTTAGGGAATGTCTTGTAGTAGAGCAGATGAGCATCATCACAAATTCAGGATCATTTCCCACCCTGCCTGGCAGTCCTATTTTTCTGATCCATTTTTGTCTCCTCCCTGATGTGATTCTTTCAAATTCTTTACCTTCAAAAAACCAAATAGAAGCCATAAGACTGGAACTCCCCATGCCTGCACTCTGACTTCTCTCCTTTGTGTTACGGGGGAGGAGGGGACCCTATCTTCCCTCAGGCCAGTTCCTGCACTCATGCTCTGGGTTCCGTTTTCTTCCATTTGCTCCAGAACCTGACATAATCAGTTTCTCTTTCTCTCCCAGCAGCTTTTCCCTGCTCTCACCTGATCCTCTATCAGCTGTTACACATGCCAGTATCTCTGTCTTAAAAACCTGTCCTTTGGGCCCACCTCTGTCCACACCACTGCTGGCCAGTCCTCAATCATGCTCCCCTTCATTGCCGACCCCCCTCTAAAGAGTTGCTTGCACTTGTTTTCCCACGTTCTTTGGCCCCCTGCATCTATCAGATTTCATAGGTGGGTTTTTGGTTTTCTTGAAGTGGTTGAGCACTCCTACTTCAAACACTTTCTTCCCTTGCCTTGGATGCTTTTCCTCTTAACTCCCTGGCACTTCTCTTTCTCCTTGCCCTTTCTTTTAGCCTCATATATTCAAACTTGGTGTCTCCACTTACCTGATGTCCCAAAGATGCCGCAAACTCCCCTTGTTCGAGATTGAATCCATTACTTCCCGCACAGTGCTCTGAGCAGCTTCTCACTCTTCTCCCCTCCCTTGCTTGTTTTCCTTCTAAACATCCTAAACTCTCCCTGACCTGTAGTCTGGGCCATGGTCCCCTTGTTCTAGCACATTCTTTCCTTTTTTGAAGGAAATGACCTCAGTTTGTGGTTAGACCTTCATTTGGGGATTATTGGATGACCCTGCTAGACTGTAAGCTCCATGAGGGGTAGGGACATGGTCTGCTTTTATTTACTTCTGTATTCCTGCAGGGCCTGCCATGGTGCCTGGCACTTAACAGGTGCTCAATAAATGTTTGTTGAAAGAATGAGTGTGAGTATTTTTTTATGTCTTCACAGTAAATTGTAAGCTTCCTAGTCGGGTTTGCTCACCATCGTGTCTCCAGGATCTGTCACTGGGTGGGTGCATAGTAGGGCCTCAATTAATTTTCAGGCGCACCTGGAGCTGAAAGGATGGGAGCCCAACCTACTTACTGAGTTGGCAGCCTTAGGGGAAACCAGATCAATCATAGTTGAAACAAGACGGGCCAGGGGTCATCTTAGTTGTCGGGAGGGTGAGAACTTAGTGTGAAAGTGGTCCTCTTTTCATCCACGGAAAACTGGTAGGACGTCATAGCTAAGGCCACATGCTATGAAAGTGGCAGGACGGGGCAGCCCTGCTCTAGTGGCCCTGTTTTTAACTGCTGTATCGGGTTAGGTGACATGTTTTATCAGCTGGGCAATGGGCAAGTTACCTTCCTTTTCAAAGCCTCAGTTTCCCTCAGTGGGAAAGTGGAGAGGATTACTATTAAGCACTTTATAGACAATTTCCTCATGGTTCTTCAATCCAGCTCTCTGAGGTAGGTATTACTATTATTCCCTCTTCACAGATGAAGAAACTGAGGCATAGAGAGGTTCAGTAACACAGCTGGTTGGTGGCAGACTGGTTTCATTCAAAATTACATGTTATGACCCTTTGTTGAGTTGTGAAATCAATTTACTGGATTCCAACAAACACTTAAAAATAGTATAGGAACTAATTAGTGCATCACCACGTACTAAAGGTAAGTTATTTCTCAGTTATATGTATGTATATATATATTTACATATGCATACGGTGTGCTGGACTATGATATACAATGTGTTTCTTTGGGTCACGGCCAGATGAATGAAGTTACCGCTGTGAAAGAAGCTCATAGCACAATAAACTGCTGTCCTCCTTCCACCCCACTGGATTGTCCCCAAGTCCCAGAGTTGACACTGACACAGACTAGCTGGGAAAGAGCAGTGCCCCACATAACTTGGTGGCTTTCACAGCCGCATTCAAACCCTGTGCTTTTCAGAAAGCAGATGGCTCAGGGTAACAGATTCCAAGTATAACAGGGCAGGTTTCTAAATTCTGAAGCCACCTGTGCCCCACCTCCCCCGCACCTCCTCCCTGATAGTCAGCCTTATCTTTAGGTTGAGCTGGGGTCTGCTGAGTTTCCCTTTTGGGTTTCAGTGCGTGACCCACTTTGGGTTGGCCAAGTTCTTTGAAAACATGAGCGTTGGGGGTGCTCACGAAGGACTTGGGCGGTGGTGATGCCAGTGATGTGACTGCTCTGAAAGTCTGCTTTGCTCTTTCCCATGGTGGCTGTCAACCCTCACTCACTCTGCCTGAAGATTCACTTTTTTGTTCTGTCTTGGCTGGGGCTGATGACACTTCTTTCTGAAATCTCACCCCCTGGTTTCTCTGGGTGCCATCTGAGGTCAGCAGCCATTGAATTTCCTGTTGGTGGGAAGAATTTTCACACTGGCGTGCAGGCCCCTTCTAGGCTATACTGTCTTGACTAGTTCTCGAGAGCAACCAAAGGATGCATGTCCAAGATGCCCCTAGGCCTGTGTGTTCCAGCCCACTATTGCCGGTTGCCCTTGAGGAGACCACCAAGTGGCATTTGTGAGGCTGGTGCCAAAAGAGTGGGTTTCCTTCTCGAAAATTAGTAAGCACACTGGAAGTACAGTTTTGTTCTTAATCTCTTCCCTCTCCACTTTTTCTAAGAACCCTCTTCTCTGTTACTGATTAGTGAGGCTCTGTAACTTCGTTTCTCTCACCAGCCTCCTTTTGATTAAAGTCATAGCTGCCCTCAAATGTTTACTGTGAAAGACAGTTCTGGATATTTAGATTTTCATTTTTCTTTTTTAAGTTCAGTTTCAAACACTTAAAAATGGAGCCCTCTTTGGATTTATCAGCGTGGTGTGTAGTTAGTGAATGTAGAGACACGATTCCTTGAGCCTCGGTTTCCATGTTTGTAAAAAGGGAAGGGTGTTGCCTTGAAGGACAGAGGTGAAGGTTTTCAAATGACTTGGTGTATCAGTGAAAAGGGCTCGAGGTGGAGGAGGTGAACAATAGATATGTCTTTTGCTTTCATCTCTGATTTTGGAGGTAGGGAGTGACCTGTGTACTTTTGCTGACTTCATGGATCTTGGGGCTTGCTGAATTGCTTGACCTGATTTCTGTATGTTGCCCCTCTTCTCACCCTCCTCAGTTATGGAAGAGATGCTCTGGGGGCTGAAGGATTTGTTTTGTATTTGCTTTTTCTCAACTGAACTTTATTCAACTGAACTGTGGATTTCTTTTCCTGCTGGTTGGCTGTGTCCTGAATTCCCCTTCGCTCCCCCCTCTTCCCCCCACCCGCTTCTCTCACATGCATCTCAGGACTCTGGAGTGCTTTTAGAAGCCTGGTTTTGTGTATGTTAGCTCTGGGCCAGATGGCAGGGGACAGCTTGTCTAGTCCCTGCCCCTTCCTGTCTGTCTGTGGGTCTTCTTGAAGAAGCTTGCTTTAGGAGATCCTAGGAAGATGACATTTTCTTTAATGAAGGACTGACTACACCAGCAAAAGAAGTTATCAGAAGTCATGTCAGGCCACAAATCCAAAGACCTGGATTTTAGAGCCACTGACAGGACTAGTGCAGGACCAAGCCCGTTTGCTCCCAAGCCCCCTTTCTTATTCATGATGGGCAGGAGTTGATGACTGGGCTTTTGGCGTTACCCACTCCAGGCCCTGTAGTACAGTGGAACCTCATTTCTCAAAATTAATTCATTCCAGAAAGCTGTTAAAAAACGGAATCATTTTTCCCCATTAGAAATAATATAAATTGAATTAATCCATGCCAGACCCCCAAATGATTACCTGTTTTAACCTTTCTTATATACAGTACATGTCTAATGTACTGTTTGTTCTATAAACACTTTAAAAACAAAAAGGACATGAAGTGTAAATGAAAATTTAACAAAAAGGAAATGAAAAAAACAGTAAAAATGAAAATTTAATAATGATAAGCAGCATCAAAAGCAAAAAAATAAAAAACCCCACAAAAATATTCACAGCATAATTTCCTGAGCTGTTAACAACGTGAGGTTTAGCGGTAAACTGACTCATACTTATGCATTCTCTCCTTTGTTTGTCGCCTGAGAGATGCATGGCTGATCATACAGGTATCAGCATGAAAGGGTTGTGGGGTGGAGAAGCGAACTGCTTGAGATGGGAGATGTTTGAGAACTGAGGTTTGACTATATTCTCATCCAAAGACCTCTGGCGGGACACGTGAGCCCTAGTTCATGGAGAAAGACATACATTTCTTCTGGAGCTTCCAGACTCTAGAATCTCAACCTTCCTAATGCCGCGACCCTTTAATACAGTTCCTCATGTTGTGGTGACCCCCAATTTCATTGTTACAAATTGAACATAATTAAAGCATAGTGATTAATCACAAAAACAATATGTAATTATATATGTGTTTTCCGATGGTCTTAGGCGACCCCTGTGAAAGGATCATTCGACCCCCAAAGGGGTTGCGACCCACAGGTTGAGAACCGCTGCTCTAGATCTATATATATGGTTCAAGTTTTCCCCTAGGGTGCTAACAAAAAGATTTTTTACAGCCACTTCTGTGTCTGGTGGTTTCCTAGCCACATGTTCCATGAAGGCAGGGAAGCTGGAAATGAATGGGTGGGTAAAAGGCAGGTTTAAAAAAAAAGACTGAATGAAGGAGGGAGGAGGTAGGGATTTTGTCTATTGTTGCCGTCTCCCTTGATCTACTCCTGGAAAGGATTGGAGATGGGATTGGGGTAAGACCCCGGTCTACCTCACCCAAGTAGCAACAGTTTGCTGGTTGAGAGGTTTTGATCCTCACTGCTGACCTTGAGCCATTTACTCAGCTTCCATTTCATCATCTGTAAGATGATAATAATACTGCCTACTTCAGAGGATTAAAAGTACCTATCTCATGGGTTGCTGTGAGGATTTAATTTATAGTATATGTGCCTAACACCATAGTAACTACTGTATTTGGGTCAGCTAGTGGTATTCTGTTTCTGTAAAGGTAATTGATTACGTGTTTTTAAAAAATTGCAATCATTTTCAGAAATGTCAACATCATCAAATTACCTCTAGGAAGCGAAAGGTCTGAGCAATTGCCTCAGCTCCTGTCAGATTTCTGTACATGTTTTAGCTAATGCTTCTCTCACTGCCTTAATCTGTAAGCACTTGATACTCATATGAGAACAGTGATTTCCCCATGAGCCCTGTGACCTCACACCTGGCAGGGACTGGCTGAAATACAGCTGGCTTATGCCACTCAGACCTTGGGGTCCGATTTGCCTGGTGAAGGAAGACCAAGACCAACAAACATCTACGGTTGATTCAGCCCCCGTTCTGTACCAGGCCTGGCGTCTGGCTTGATGTCCTCATTTCTCTTGACTGCCCTGTGCTTGGTGTGCACATCCTGGATACCCTGTGCTGTATTTTAAGGTGAGGGGGTGAGGCTCAGGGAGGTTAGGTGCCTTGCTAGGCTGTTATGGCAATGGGAGGAGGGTTGGCAGTGGGATCCAGGCCTCTACGACCCCAGGTTACTTCCTTTTCTGCTGACCTCTTTCCTGGTCACCAGTCACCTTCTCTCTTTTGCTGCTTCCGGTGCCCCATAGTCCTCACCTGCTCTTGCTTGGAAAAGATGGGTTTCTGCATAGCTCGGAAGATACCCTAAAGAAATGATCCAAGTTGCTCATAAAGTTATAGGCAACCGTTTCTGCCGAAGCCTGCTCTGTGAGTGTAAAATAGAAGAAACAACTAGCTGCTCAGTAGGACAGGAATGGGTACATGCCTTCTGGCAAGCCCATATGATGAGAGTAGTAAGCAGCTATTTCACATGTTTACAGAAGTATCGAATGGTGCTTCTTACTGTTAAATGGACAAAGCCAGTGCAAAATTATATCTGCAAAATCTAAACACTTTCATAGAATGTCTGGAATTACATTTTCCAAAATGGTAATGGTGGTTGCCTCTGGCTAATGTGGCACTTTTTATTGCTTTATGCTTCCCTGTATTTTGTAAATTTTTTACATTGAGCGTGTAGGACTTTTATAATCGGGATGGAAGGAGGCAGCAGAAGAGAGAACAGCAGCTGTCAAGTGAGGGTGGCCACCACAGCGGCTCAGAAGTGGCTGGTGGATGGCAGAACTGGCTTCTCAGGGCTCAGATCCATGTGTTGTCTCCTCTGTCCCACAGGCCTAACGAGGAAGAGCTGAGGATGAAGAGCTCGGATGATAATACCCCTGCTGTGGGTAAGCAGTTGGCAGGTGGTAGGAGTTTTAGCTTATATTTGTCATTTTTTTCTTCCTCCCCCTTTCCTTTCTATACAAATTAAGAGGCACCTCTACCTTAGACTGTCACAGAAAGCTTCAGAGGCAAAACTGCCTATTGGCTAGGACAGATTTTCTTAACCAAACCAGGCCTGCTTGTAAGCCTGCCTCACCCCAATGCTGCCCTTTTCTTCTCTCCAGCAGATCATCTTGATGTCCAGGAGTCAGTGGGTCCCCTGGTGGCTCCCACTCCTCTCCGTCCATGGCCACAGATGACACATCAGGTAAGCAGGCCCTGGAAGCCTCGGGACAGACAGCCCAATGGGAGGCTGGGTGGTGGAGCTGACTTGTTCTGGGTCCACCCTAGGTTGGAGGGAGATCTGCCAAATCATAACCTGATGGTGGAAGGGTAGAATGCAGTTTTTTTACCTCGGCTTATCTTAATGTCAGTTGGTAACTTAGCAAATGTTTATTGAATGCTTGGTCTGTGCAAAGCCCTGTTAGGGAATATGGTAGTGACCAGAAATGATGTCTTCCTGGGGCTTACTTACATTTTAGTGGTGTGAGACATAACAGAACAATAGATAAATATATGGTGTTTTGGATAATGGTGAGTGCTAAGGGGGAAAAAAGGGATAAGGAGAGAGAGGGAGGAAAGGAAGAAGGAAGGGAGGGGGAGAGAGAGAACGGGGTTGGATGGGGACAAGTTTGCAACTTTAGATTTTAGAGTGGCTAGGGAAGTGAGATTTGAGCAATGATGTGAAGAAGGTGAGAATGAGCCACGTGGATAACTAGGGGAAGGACATTCCAGGCAAGTGCAAAGTCCTAGAGCAGGGCCATGATTAGTGTGTGTGAGGAACAGCGAGGAACAGTGAATGAGGGGCAGCAGGGGGAGGTGAGGTTGGAGAGATGGCAGGGACAGATTGTATAGGGCCTCATGGGCCATGGAGAAGACTCTGACTTCTACTCTGAGCGACAAGGGAGCCACGGGAGGGTCACCAACTGAGAAGGGCCATGACATGACCTAGGATTTAACAGGCTCCCTCTGGCTGCTGTGAAGGAAATAGATTGTAGGGGTGAGGCAGAAGCAGGGGGACTGTGAAGAGGAGGTGACTGCAGTGGTCCAGGTGAGTGATGGTGGTGCTGACAGCGGGGTGGAGAAACTCAGGAGATGTATGTTAATGTGTGTGTTAACTTTTTATTATAATTTTTTTCAAGTATAAGTAAAAGTAGAGACTAGTATAATGAACCCACATATACCCATCACCCAGCTTCAACAAACTTCAACACATGTCCATTCCTACCTTTTTATATCCCACCCCTTCTCTCCCCTCCCATTCTCTGTGGAATTATTTTGGAAAAAATCTAGACATTATCCCATCCATAAATACTTCAGTTTGTATCTCATAAAATTAATAACTCTTAAAAAAACACAGTGCCATCATCACACTTCAGACAATTAACATTAATTTTAACAAAAATTAACAAAATTAATTCCTTAGTGTCATTGAATATTTGGTTAATGTTCAAATTTCCTTATTTCATAAGTTTTTAGGATCCAAAAAGGTCAACACATTGCATTTGGTTGATGGATTGGTCCTTTTAGATTTTTTAATCTCCTCACTTTTGTTGCAATTTGTTCAAGAAACCTTGTTTATCCTGTAGAATTTCTCACAGTATGGATTTGGCTGATTGCACCCATGTGGAAACACATTTCTTACTCAATTTTTAAGTAGATGCTCAACCACTGAGCCACACCGGTCGGGCTTTTATTCAGTTGTTATTAATTTATTAATTCTATGTAATTATTCAGATCTATTAAATTTAATCAATTTATTAAACTATTACTTTTAAAAATATATATTTTTGTTGATTTCAGAGAGTAAGGGAGAGGGAGAGAGAGATAGAAACATCAATGATAAGAGAGAATCATTGATCGGGTGCCTTCTGCATACCCCTCACTGGGGATTGAGCCTGCAACCCGGGAATGTGCCCTTGACTGGAATCAAACCCAGGACCCTTTAGTCCACAGGCCAACACGCTATCCACTGAGCCAAATCGACTAGGGCTAAACTATTACTTTTATTAAATTAATTTATTAGATACAAATATATTATTATTAAAGTAATTTAAATAGAATTGATTCTGTTTAATTCTCTTATTCCCCCTTTGTTTACTGGCCGGAATTTATTTCTAAGGAAAAACTTTCTCACATCAACTGTCTGGCTACCTTGACAGTGTGTAATCTTGAAGGTATATAGTTTGTATAGAAAAAGCTGTATAGATAATTGATTTTCCCCTTCTTATTTACCAATTTTCAGAAGAAATCAACTTCTTCAAAGGTGACCAAATAAAGGATTTTTGGTTTTGGTATATCATTATTAACTCATGAATTTTAAACATATTTGATGAGTTTCAATTCATTGCCCTTATTTTTTTTGTTGTTGCTTAAATTGAACTGCCTCTGGTCAGTGGAAGCTTTTTTAGATTGGTGCCACAGTCCTTTTGACACATACCCATCATTCTTTGAGCACTTCTTACATTATAGGACTTTACCTGCCCCCAAATTGGAAATAGCCATTTATTTAAGGAGCCCTAATTCCTTTTAGTGGAGAATGCTATTTAGATCTGGGGACTAGGTATGCCCGTTGCTACTAAATTGATCATTATTTCTAGGCCTTGTCAAAAGACAGAGCTAGGAAATATTTTTTTAAAATAAAAATTGCATAAATTCATGTGAATGTTCTGGATATGTTTTGGAGGCCAACCAGCAGTATTCACCTCAGCTATATGATCTGGAGCAGTGGTTCTCAACCTTCCTAATGCCGCGACCCTTTAATACAGTTCCTCATGTTGTGGTGACCCCCAACCATAAAATTATTTTCGTTGCTACTTCATAACTGTAATTTTGCTACTGTTATGAATCGTAATGTAAATATCTGATATGCAGGATGTATTTTCATTGTTACACATTGAACATAATTAAAGCATAGTGATTAATCACAAAAACAATATGTAATTATATATGTGTTTTCCGATGGTCTTAGGTGACCCCTGTGAAAGGGTCGTTCAACCCCCAAAGGGGTCACGACCCACAGGTTGAGAACCGCTGATCTGGAGGCAGCCTCCTTTACTTCATCTGATTTTGTTATTTTAATATAGATGACAGTCTGGAATTTAGAGAATTATAGAAGGCCCTTTAAGGAGTTTTTATCTAGAAATACCTATGGGTCTGGGTGTGGGCTGTTACCAGTTTTCACTGCTTGTTCCACCCCCTCCTCTACTTCATCTCCTTCCATTTCTCCCCCACCCCAGGTTTCTGAAGTTACAGTGACTGGCAGACTCACAGAGGAAGGTGACATCCCCAGAAACAGTGCATCTGTGGCTTTCACAGAGGTCCACCAGACACCAGCCATCAGGATCCCCCCCTCCTCCTTTCTCTGTGGCCTGGGTGGCTCCCCCAGGGACCAGGCCTCGGGGCCTGATGCAAGTGAGGGGGCAGCTGGGCCTCTCCTGGAACCTAGTCAGCCACAGGTGGAGGCTGCGTGGGAAGTATCCAGCGAGAATGGAGGGGGCCGAAAGGAACCCATGGTAGGGGCTATTATGGACGAGCCCCCCAGGGGTTTGGAGGCCATGAGTGGGTTGGAGGAGCTGCTCAGCGAGGACTCCATTGACCAGGAGCTGGAGCAGCTCTACTTGTCCCACCTGAGCCGCCTGCGGGCTGCTGTGGCTGCAGGTGGGGCAGGAAATGGCGGGGAGGGCTCCACAGATGGAGGGGTGTCTCCTAACCATCCCCTGGGCATATTCACGGACCGCGACCTGATCTTGAAGTGGCCTGGCCCTGAGCGGGCCCTGAACAGCGCCCTGGCAGAAGAGATCACACTGCACTATGCCCGGCTGGGGCGTGGTGTGGAGCTTATCAAGGACACTGAGGACCCTGATGAGGAGGGGGAGGGTGAAGAGGGGCTCTCCACGATACCCTCCAGTCCGGAAGGGGGCACCCCCAAGGAATCGCCTCCGGAAATCCTCTCTGGGGCCCGTTCTGTGGTAGCCACTATGGGAGATGTGTGGCTCCCATGGGCAGGGGGCTTGGCATGTGACAGCCCTGTGGTTTTGGGTCCAGAGGGGCAGTTCAATGGGGCGCCAGAGAAGGGGATGCGCAAGGACACTGACTCTTTGCACACGAATAGGGTGATATCTGGGGCACCTGGGTCCCCAGGAGGGACAGAAGCCCGGATGGAGTCCACTGAATGGGCAGACAGCTTGGTTCCTGTATCTGGCAAGGAGCCAGCTGTTTCAGGCCCGCCGGGGCAAAATCTCACCCTCCTTGGCATCTCAGGGGCTGAAATCTGTCCTTCCAGCCTGGCCAGGTGCCATGTGAGTTTCCAGGATGAAGAAGGTTCAGGCCTAAGCCTTGAGTCCCCAAAGAGGTCTCCCACCTTAGCAGCCCCTGCAGAATGTGTGTGTGTTTTGTCTCCCCAGCTCTGGGGGCCCTTGACCCAGACTCTGGGAGTCCTGGCTGGCCTGGTAGTGGTCCCTGTGGCTCTGAACAGTGGTATGTCCCTCCTGGTGCTTGCGCTGTGCCTCTCTCTGGTCTGGTTCTCGTAGGAGCTGCTTGTGGGACCAGCAATAACAAGTGTCCCCCCCTCTGGGGTTTGGGGAGGGGCAGCCCCTGCACCATCCCCAGAGGGTTCATATGGGATGTGTGGCCTGTACAGTGAGTGGATCCTTTACTTCTGAGAATGCTTGACTGCAGAGAGGCCTCCCCGTCTCTGAGCTCTCCAGTCAGCACAGGGCTCCTGTGGTGATACCAGTGGAGAGGAACAGGGGACGGGTGGATAGTGGAAATGAGAACTTGCAGAATGGCACTGGGCATGTCCTCCCCCCCCCACCCCCCTGAGCCTGTATTTATTTTTGTATAATTCTCTGGATGAGGGAGAGTGGTCGTGAGCTGGTCTTGGGGCACAATTACCCAGAGATATATTTATTAACAGCCAACCTGTGCAACCTGCTGGAGCTTTATTTTTAATTTAATTTATATAGAGTACCTATTATTATATGCCACAATAGAGCTCTATGAGAAATGATGTGTCTTGCTGTGCAGTGTTCTCCTGTTCAGGAATGAGTGTGCAGGGTGATCATATGGGAGTGGCATGTGGAATGTGAGGTGTGGTTATGCCTGCTGCTGCTGCTGCTGCTGCTTCAACATGTCATTGAGGATCTGTGTTGTCTCACCTTATTGTCCTAATACATGTGGTCTGATGGTCTTTGGGAGACAGGTCCACATTCTGTCAGGGAGGGAGGAAGAGTGGCAGCCACATGAGGGTTTGATGTCACACATGTGGTTGCAGTAGTGGATGTGGTCAGCTGTGGATGTGGAGATACTGGTTGTGAATCAGCCACAAGATTTTGAAGTTACTTAAAAAAAACAGCCTTTGACACCAGCAGGGAGATCCTTTGGTCCCCAAGATTGGGAAGGCCTCAGAAAGGACAAAGGTGTTAATGTACTGTGAAAAATTCATGCCAGAGTTGCTGTCCACAGACATTGTATTTCTAATTCAAAACAGGAAACCCAGAAGCTTTGAAACAATGGCTAGATATATTTACAACATGCAATTTAAAAACGCTGCAGAGCAAAATAAAACACCATATATTTATTTACTTTCCTTCACAGCAAAACTTTATACTAGTTTTTCTTTAGTTATTCTCCTCCGGGGATCCAGGGCTTTTCTGAAACAGCCCCAATCAGACTTTTTGCCCAAGCACTTCAGCAAAAGTGCTGTTCACTGGTTGTTTTATCAATGTTCCAGTTTCAGATCTTATCTTACTTGACCTACTGGCAGCATTTGACACAGTTGATCATCTCAAACTTGAAATCCTTTCTTCATTTGGTTTCCAGGACACCACACTCTCCAACTTTTCCTCTTTGCTCACCAGCCATTCTTCTAGAACAGTTCTTGGCACATAGTAGATGCTCAATGAAATAAATGAAGGAACAAGCTAATGCATGTGGGGAAATATAGGCAGGTGGCTAGAGAACTTATTTGGTCATTCATTGGTTATAAGCTCAGTTCAGTTCCATAAGTGTTGACTGGTCACCTCTGCTCTGCACTGAAGACAGATGAAGGAGCTCAGTGTACGGGGAAAGACACAGAGAAAGAATTTCAGTGGAGTGTGGTTAGTCCATTAACAATGATGGGTATAGTGGGCTGTGGAGGCTCCAGGATATATGTTTAGCCTAGTGTAGGGAATCTGGGAGCCTTAGAGGACACGGTGCCTGAATTGAATTTTAAAAATTGAGAAAGAATCCACAGTCCAGTCAGAAGGAATGGCATTGAAGAGGTCTGGAAGTGGAACACAGCTAGTGGAAACAAATCAGCACACCCATATTTCACCTGTCTTTCAATGAGGATATTCTGACTTTGTCAAATATCAAAATCCAGACATGTGTTGGTGTCCTTCCATTAATGTGGTAATTTGATCAATGTTCTAAAAGGCAACTTTATGCCAATTACATTGAACAATGAGATAAAATGGACAAATTACTACAGACATATATCTTGCCAAAACTGACTCAAAAAAGGAAACTCTGGGTAGCCCTATTAACAGAACCTGTAGATAAAGGTCTTTCTACACAGAAACTCTGGGCTCAGATGGGTTCACTGGTGAAACACTCAAGGAATAAGTAATTCCAATTTTATGAAGCAATTCCAGCCCACCTCGAATGGCTCAGTGGTTGAGCATTGACCTAGGAACCAGGAGGTCACGGTTCGATTCCCAGTCAGGGCACATGCCCGGGTTGCTGGCTCAATCCCCAGTGTGGGGCATGCAGGAGGCAGCCAGTCAATGGTTCTCTGTCATCGTTAATGTTTCTATCTCTGTCCCTCTCCCTTCCTCTCTGAAATCAATAAAAAGATATTTAAAAAACACACACACAAAGAACAAAAGCAATTCCAGAGTGTAGAAAAAGAGGGAGCATTCCTAATTCATTTTATAACCTTGATACTAAAACCTGATGAGTAAAAAACAAATATTACAGAACAATCTCAAGAAAGCAGATGCACATATTTTAAATCAAGTGATAACTCCCTGTTTTAGTCTGTTCGGGCTGGCTAGATGGCTAATAAACAAAATTTATTTCTCACACATCCTAAGGCTAGGAAGTCAAGATCAAGGTCCCGGCCGTTTTGGTGTATTGTGAGGGCCAACTTGTTGGTTCACAGACAGCTGTCTTCTCACTGTGTCCTTACAGAGTGAGAGGATGAAATCAATATCTGGAGTCTCTTTTATAAGGGCACTAATCCCATTCATGAGGGCTCCACCCTCATGACCTAATCACCTCCCAAAGGCTTCACCTCTTAATACCATCACATTGGGGATTAGGTTTCAATATATAAATTTTGAAGGGACAGAAATATTCAGTCACTGCCAAAGTCCAATACAGATGCTCTTTGACTTAACAGGGTTCCTTCCCAATAAACCCATCATAAGTTGAAAGTATTGTAAGTTGAAAATGTGTTTAATACACCTACCCTACCAAACATCACAGCTTAATCTAGCCTACATTAAATGTGCCAGGAACACTTATATTAGCCTACAGTTGGGCAATTATCTTGAGTTTTATGCCAAGTAATTGCCTTCCTCGTCTCACCAGAAGCAGAGGACACAGTTTGGTGTTTTGTAGACATGATGGGATGTTAAAACACAAAACACAATATCCAAAAAATGATGGTAACACAAAACACTGTATAGTATTGGTTGTTTATTCTTGTGATTTTGTAGCTGACTAGGAGCTTTGGCTCACTGCTGCCCAGCATCACAAGAGAGTATCATACTGCATATTGCTAGCCTGGGGGAAAGATCAAAATTCAAAATCTGAACACGGTTTCTACTGAATGTGTATCGCTTTTGCATTATCATAAAATCAAAAAAGTTTTAAGTTGAACCATCATAAGTCTGGGACCATTTGCATATTAAAAAAAAGTATAATATGACCAAGTTGGATTTATTCCAAAACTGCACTGTGATTTAACATTTGAATTTAATCAGTGTAATTTGCTCCATTAGCAAATTAAACAAGAAAAACCACAACTATCTTAATAGATGTAGAGCAAGCATGTAAAATTCAAAGGCTAACCCGGGCCAAATAAACAAGGTTTAAATTTATGTGGGCCACCAAAATACAAAAGCTTCAATTTTCATAGAAACATAGGTTTATTTTGATAGAGACATGCTGAATACAAAGGGCTGAAATAAATGAGTCATCATTAACAAAATAATAGAACATTTTAATAAAAATTAATATTTTTTCTTGAACATTAACTTACCAGACACTGAATAACTGCACAAATTAATAAGCATAATACAAACCTATTTTTCTTGTTCTCCGAAAGCAAAATATTTCCTGTTGCACACACCAAACAAGTCAGTCCAAGACGAATGACGTGGCAATCGGCTGCTAAAATATTCGCTGCTAATATCAGTGGAGAGAAATGGTGTGCCTGCATGTAAGGCGGGTAAGGGAAATGAATGCAACACGATTATAGTAATCAGTCATTAGCAAACATTGTAGTTCATTATTAATAATTATGTATAACAGGATATTGTAAAAATTAAGTTATGAAATTTTTATTAAAACGTTTCTTACATACTGTTATATTGGCTGGGCCGCAAAAATATTCATTGTGGGCCGCATATGGCCCATGGGCCGTGAGTTTGACGTGCTTGATGTAGAGAAAGAGATAAAATTTGATTTAGCAAGTTTGTTGATTAAACCTACTTAACATGAAGGGTATCTACAAAGATTTACAATAAACTACATACTTAGAAGTGAAATGTTAAGAGCTTTGACCTTTGGAATGTAGCAAGCATGCCTGCTGTCACCATTTCTACTCAGCATTGTACTGGAGGTCCTAGCAAGCACATTAAGTCAAGAAAAAGAAAATATTTGCCCTAGCTAGTTTGGCTCAGTGGATAGAGCGTCAGCCTGCAGATTGAAGGGTCCCAGGTTCAATTCTGGTCAAGGGCACATGCCTGGGTTGCGGGTTCAATCCTCAGTAGGGGGCGTGCAGGAGGCAGCCACTCAATGATTTTCTCTCATCATTGATGTTTCTCTCCCTTTCTCTCTGAAATCAATAAAAAAAATTAAAAATATTTAATGGCCCAGCGCGGTGGCTCAGTGATTGAGTGTTGACCTAGGAACCCGGAGGTCACAGTTCGATTCCTGGTCAGGGCATATGCCCAAGTTTCGGGCTCAATCCCCAATCGGGGAGAAGGCACTAATCAATGATTCTCTCTCATCATCTCTCTCTCCCTCTCCCTTCCTCTCTGAAGTCAATAAAGATATAAAAAAATATTTAATGATTGGAAATGAACAGAATTGTCATTATTTGTAGATGATACCGTTGTGTTGTAGAAAATCCAAAATAATCCATAGATAAATTATTAGCGTTATTAAGAATTTTAAAAGATTAAAAAAAATTTTTCATTGCCTGGCCTGTGTGGTGCAGTGGTTGCGCATCGACCTATGAATCAGGAGGTCATGGTTCACTTCCTGGTCAGAGAGGAAGGGATAGAGAGAGAAAGATAGAAACATCAGTGATGAGAGAGAATCATTGATTGCCTGCCTCCCATGCCCCACACTGAGGACTGAGCCTGCAACTCGGGCAAGAATTTTGAAAGATTTTTATACAAAATCCATATTTAAAAATCCATTGCTTTTATATGCTAATAACAAAGAAAAGTTTTAATAAAGATACCATTTATGCCCTAGCCAGTTTGGCTCAGTGGATAGAGCGTCGGCCTGTGGACTGAAGAGTCCCAGGTTCGATTCCAGTCAAGGGCATGTACCTTGATTATGGGCACATCCCCAGTAGGGGGTGTGCAGGAGGCAGCTGATTGATGTTTCTCTATCGATGTTTCTAACTATCCCTCTTCCTTCCTCTCTGTAAAAAAATCAATAAAATATATTAAAAATAAAAAACTTAAAAAAGAGACCATTTATGAACTGAAATTAACAAAAGGGAGTAAGATCTCTTTGTGTTTTTCTTTGTTAATCCTAGAAATATTTTTCCATTGATTTTTTAGA